CCCCCCTCCCCCTCCTCTTCTTCATTTCCACAGTTTTCTAATTCGGAGCCGGTTTTGTCCTCCCCTCTTTGCAGACTTCGGTTTGAGCAACTGCGCGGGGATCCTGGGCCACTCCGACCCGTTCAGCACGCAGTGCGGCAGCCCCGCCTACGCCGCGCCTGAACTTCTTGCCAGGAAGAAATATGGCCCCAAAATCGATGTCTGGTCCATGTGAGTTGTTGAGCTTATCCAAGTGAATGCTCCTTCCTGCTGTCTCGCTGTCCCTTTCTTATGAAATAACATTTGAGTAATTGATGAGAATGTATTATGTTATAGGCTTTAAGATGTGTATTCAGTGACTCCGTCCACCTCTGTTCCTTCTGGTCTTTTCCCCACAAACTGCCAGAGAGGGCTTTACCAAAATTCATTTAGGGTCTGGGAGACAAGAAAACAGAGCCCAGCACGCGCAGAACCCATGTGTGGTTTCATGGATTGTGCACGTCCTTCCGCCGCTTAAAATCCTTCCGTAGCTCTCCATCCGCGTGTGGATAAAGCTCAGCCTGCATGCTCAGCTGTGCTCCTCCCGCACCTTGCTTCTGCCCACCGCTCCTGGCTCTTCGCTTCCTAGCCCACCCTCTGCTCGCAATTCTTCAGATAGCGTGGCCTCTGCTTCGTCTTTCCCACCCCTGGGGTCTGCACTCGCCCTTTCCTTTGCCTGGAACGCCATTTTCCAGCTCTTCCAATGGCCTTTGCATTCCCACATTCCAGTGTTGACCCCATGTCTCTGTCGCAGAGACCATTTCTGAGTTCCCTGTCGGAAGGGATCCCCATGACTCTGTCTCCTCACCCTTTCAATTTCCTCTCTAGCACTTGTCATGGCCTGCCATTTTCTTGTTTGTTAATCCATTTATTGTCTGTCTCCCCAGTAGGAAAGGATGCTGGATGAGGGTGGGGACCTTATTGGTCAGCTTCACCAGTGCCTAGCACAGTGGGCACCACGAGGGGAAAACTCAATCAATAGTTGAAGGAATGAGTCACGGGTGCCTGCAGGGGCCCTCGTCACTAAATCTAGGTCCCTCCTGGTTCCCCATGGTGAGTGAGGCCCTCATTACCATATGTGAATGGTCCAGGCAGCCCTGCAGAGTCCTGGATCCCTGGGTAGGGACCACATTCCTTGTCACTGGGAAATGGGCTCTAGATGCACAGAGACTGGGCTCCTGATTAAGATACAGAAGCTAGAGATGAGAAGGGCTAAGTGTGTATTGATGCAAAACGTTTCTGGATTTCCCCTACTTTTCTCCATCTTCACTACACTCCCCTTGTCCAGGTTGGAGAAAAGCTGATGTTTGCTGGATGCTTCCTGTACAGCAGGCACTGTGTCATTTAATTGTCGTGGTAACCCAGTGGAACTGTTACCGTCTATTATCTCCACTGTATGGAAGAAGGAACCAATCACCAGAGAAGTTAATAAAGTTTCCCAAAGTCACGGAGCTACTAAGTGGTGGAGGTGGGATTTGAACCAGACAGACTTCCAGGGTCTCAAGATAAAGTACTGATTTTTGAACATGGCTTGTGGGGGCCCTTGCTTGGCCCCGCCCTCTGCCCCAACCCACCAGCTAACTTTGCACTGTTTGCTGCCCCTTCAACGCAGCCTGCCTTCCCCTGGATTCCTACCTTTGCATGCACAATTCCTTCTGCTGGGAACTCTTTTTCCTGCTTCTGGACCCTTTTTCTTTCCCTCTTATTTTGTTCGATGCCACTTCCTCCGGGCAGCCTACCTGTCTCCTGTGGGCTGGCTTTGAGGCCACCAGTGTCTCCTCTAGTGCCTCTGTCTGCTCCCCCGGCTTTCGCCCTGTGGTCATTGCTCACCTGCCAGAACCCCCTGGACTGCAGGCCGAGGGAAAGGGACCCCCTGGCTTGCTCCAAAGATTCCTGAGCACCTGGCACGGAGCCTGATCTAGAGAGGGAGGACGGAAGGGAGAAAGGCAAGAGAGGAGGCAGAGAGGAAGGAGGGAAGAGAAAGAGAGGAGGAGGGTGGAAGGAAAGGACAGGCACTTCTCCCTGGTGAACAGAAGCTAGAGGGTCGGGGCTACGGTCGGCAGAGGACCGCGACCCAGTGCCAGGGTCTAGAAGTGAGAGAAATTCAGGAAGTTCTGGTTGGAGATTGAGAGGAATCAGAGACCAGAATGAGATTCTGAGGGCTACAGCATTCCCTGAACCTTCCAGAAAGGGCCAGCTCTCCCTGGAACCTAGGCTTGGCCGGTCAGACAGGGAGTGAAACCAGTTAGTCAGGAATCTGCTTCCATTCCTGAGCGGAGGGCTGTGTGCTCAGAGTTAATTATCGCCTCTGATTCTCAGGACAGCCTGGGGGGTGCATCTCTCTGCCCCCACTTTACCCAGACAGGAGAGAGGCCCAGTGGTTAGCGTAGCCCGGAGGCATACACAGCTTGTGAGGGGTGGAGCTGTGCTTTGCACTCTCCTGGTTACTTTTCCTACCTCTCAAGAGGAGGTGTGGCCAAGGCTGCAGGTGTGTGGTCTGCTGCTGACTCCCTGAGGTGGGTTGGGGGCTGCCCAGAGTAGGTGGGGATGGGAGCAGGAAACAGTGGCCAGAGGATGCCTTCTCTTTGAGGTACCCTGGGTGGCTTGGCCAGCGTTGCTAACCACAGACTCTTTACACTGTGCCCACTAGGGCCTCAGACTCCTTCTCAACACAGCCGTCTGGGAAGCCACTACCAATGGATCAGAGTCAGTACATGAGGTGAAATCCATTCTTGGTCCTTTCCGACACTGAAGAGTTCTCATAAGTGTCTGACACATAATCTGCCCTCAATAAATATTTATTAATGGGTGAATATGAATGTTTGAGTCACTAATCACCTTCTTTCCTTAACAGTTAGGGAACTCATTTGTGCTAAATGGAAAGCTATGAAACGGACAATTTGTCCCCAAAAAACAAAAAAAGGCTGTGGAGAATGGGGAGCCGGAGAGACCAGGAGATTCAGGGGTGTCGTGTGACTGTGGTGACAGGGAAGGGGGTGGGAGACGCAGTGGCCAAAGAGAAGGAGAAGTCGGTAGGTTGGAGAGAGGTGACAGTTTGCTCCTGAGGTCCTGCTCTCGAGGGTGCTGGATGATAATGGTGGTGTCACCAGTTGTCATGGTGATGAGGCTCAGCCTGTGACAGGGGACCTTTCCAGTCATGACTGGCGAAGCAGGCATCTCCTCAAAGTCTAGGACTGTGGGTAGAAAGAAGGAGCCTTGTGGGTTGTCAGAGGTGTGGGAGAGCTCCTGGCCCTTGTAAGTGAAATGGGACCTGTTGTCCCCTCATGCTGAGGGTAGGATAGAACCGATCATTTTGTCTGGGAAATATGAAGGGGACGGAAAAGCACAGGCTGCAAAGGGCAGCACATCTGAGGGTCAGGTTTAAGCTCAGACTTTGCTCCGGCCCTTTCTGCCAAGTCCCTTGACTTGGGAAAGGAATCCACATTTAGTGACCACAAATGCTCCATATCTCAGTTTCAGGGCCCTGTGGTTAAAACGAAGGGTCCTGGTCCATTGCCACAGCTGTGTCCCTCTCCGTTAACGATAATTCATGGTGGCATCGAAGGAGGGAAGGTGGAGGGGAAGCTGCAGGAAGGATGGAGATGACCTAAGACCAGGGTGCTCGGATGCTCACTTCCCTCTTCCCTGGCCGCTCGCGTGGTTGGGCTGTCTGCGGCAGCTGGACATTTCTTTGCTAACCTCCACTTAATTGCATTTTTTTTTTTTTTCCAAGAAGTGATATGCAGCTGCAGGCCTTCTGAAAAGCTCTAATCAGGCCTCATTCTTAGTCCTGGTGCCATGAAGTATTGTATGAGAAAGACTTTGATAAATGGTAACGCACCATGTAGACCCTGGGCTTCCCATTGATTGTGGCGTTGCTCTGGAGGCCCATGTGGGACCCTGGAGCAAGTCTGTGTTAGCTGACTCTCTGGAACATTCCCTAGGGGATGAGGCCACACGACCCTCGCCTAATTCACAGGGATGGCATCAATTAGGCCCTTTTTAGAAGCTGTTGATAAAGCTTAAAAAACAACAGGAAGCTATGGAAGCAGCCTATGGCTTACCAGAGATTGTTCATTCGGCAAATATTTGTGGAGCCAGGCGCTGTGCCGAGTTCTGCGTGCACGATGGTGAGCAGAGCAGTGAGGCGGCTCCCGCTCCTGTAACGATCGTTGTTAACCCCCACATGCCTCCGGCTGAGTGACGAGCAGTGTTCTAAGGGCTTTGCATTTGTCAGCTCATCACATCTGCCTAACAGCCTTTCACGGGAATGCTGTTAGCCCACCTTACAGATGGGGAAACTGAGGCACAAAGAGACTTAGGCACTTGCCCAAATAACACAGCTAGTGCGTGATAGACTCAAGGTTTGACCTGGGTGGTTTGACTCTAGGGTCTGCCTTTAATTTTCACCCTCTAGTCTTCTGCTCTTTTCCTTCTTCTGGAGGGTTTATGTTCTAGTGGGACAGACAGACAATTTCTTGAAAAACTATAAACTGAGGGTGGTAACTGCTGTGGACAAGTGGGCGGGATGCAGAGGATGAAGATGGGGGTGACCACTTGAGGAGAAGACCTCAAAGCCAAATCCTAAGGGTGAGAAGGCATCAGCTGTGGGAAGACAAAGAAGTCAGGGAGGAAGGCTCGAGGCAGAGGGACAGGATGTGTGAAGGCCGTCGGGTGGGGGGTGTGGGGAGGGGTTTGGATTTTCCCTTAAGGGTAGTGAGAGGCCATTGGAAAATTGTAAGCAGGTGGGTAACAAAATGTTGTGGATTGATTTGTGTTCCCTTCCCAAAGATGTGTTGGAGTCCTAACCCCCAGGACCGCAGAATGTGACCTTATTGGAGATGGGGCCTTTACAGAGGTAATCAAGTTAGAACGAGGTCATAAAATCAAATATGACTGGGGTCTTAGTAAAAGGGGGAAATTTGGACACAGAGAGACATAGGGAGGACGCCGTCTAAGGATGAAGGCAGAGATCAGGGAGATGCTTCTACAAGCCAAGGAATGCCCAAGATTGCCAGCAACCACCAGAAGCTCAGAGAGAGACATGGAACAGATTCTCCCTCTCAGCCTCAGAGAGAACCAACCCTGCTGACACCTTCGTCTTGGACGTCGAGGCTCCAGAACTGTAAGAGAAGAAATTTCTGTTGTTTAAGCTCTGAAATCTCAGGAAAGGTCAAAAGTAAACTGCTGAG